GGGAAGCCACGTGATGGCATGACACATGGGAAGGATGGTGGTGGCAGAGGGGGGTGCGGACGAGAGCGTGCAGAGGTGGGCAGAGAGGACGGCTGGTTTTTTTTGCTCCTGGGGAAGAGTCAGCTGGGGGTGGACTTGCAGGGAGATCAGATGCGTTCGGTGTCTGACCTTCTTTAGCAAACATTGCGAAACGTTTCTCTGTGATAAGAAGCTGCATTTCCCATGCGCTGGTGTGCTTTTTGCGTGAGAGGGGAACAGATGATGTCCCAGCAAAATCTCTGATCTTTTCCTTGTGTGAAGTGCGTGGATGTCTGTGTGTTTCAAACTTACTGATCACATTGGGTGACTCTGCTTTTTAAAAAAATACTGAAGAAGAGAAGATATTAAAAGTGCAAGCTCTTTGTATATAAAAGTGGTTTGAAACCTTGCACAGGGAAGTTTAAGCAGCTTCACGCACAAGACTTCATTTTTTTTTTTTTGCTGTTTTTCAGTGTTACGTTGGACAGTTCTCATTGTGTGCTGCAGAGAGAGTTTTATTTGTCAGGTGATGTGGACGAGATGGGAATCCATGTTCAGGCATAAGTTTCAGCTTTAGTAAGTTATCCCTGGGTAGTTACGAGATGTTTCCGAAGTTCCTGCCACCTTGTTGGGATTATAGAGTGCTGAGGACCTGGCTCGGGCTGGCTTCCCAATGCTCGGCTCTCTTTGGAGCTGGCCGTTTTAACCCTCACTTCCTCAGCATCAGGGTGGGTTTTCTCCTGCTTGGCTTCATGCTTTGAGCTCCAAGCCATCCTTACTGTGGATGAGTGCGTTCAGAGTAAAAAGGCTGAAATGTCCACACCCAAGACAAAGTACATAAATTAAGGTAAAAAAAAAAAAAATCCTTCCTGCTGCCGGGACAGGCGATACGCTGCTTGCACAGACCTTTGGAGAAGGTGAGTTTTGTTTCCTGCGGGGAACACGGGAGAGAGGAGTCGCACTGCAGGCGAGGAAGGAGGCCCTGTCTAACGTCAGCTGTTTTCATCAGCCCTGAGCGTTGGCTCCCTTTGGGCAGTTGTACCCAAGGAGTGTGGGGTTTTTGTTTCTTGCTTTTTTTTTTTGTTTAATTTCACTGCCATTTTGTCCTCCTTGTAGTTTAACCAAGTCTCTTTCTGTATGAAACCTGCAGAAAATATTTCTCTTGTTCAGTCTTTCCTTTTTATTGTCCTCTTTCACCTGGTATTCAAGAGGATACACTCAGCGTCTCTGAGCTTTTTGGTTGTTCGTGAAACCTTGGCAGAGTGTGGCCGTTTGTACTGGGGAAGTGGTAAAACCTGTGCCGTAGCTCTGCGGGGAGGCTGCTGGTTTCTTCCCTGGAGTCACTTTCTGTGGCAGGGAATGGTATCGCTGCTTTTCTGCCCCTGCGTGAGGGGACCCTGTTGTGCTGGCCATAAATCATGATTATTTTTATAATGCTTTTTGTGCTTTGAGGGGATTGTCAGGTTAGCACGCAGCGAGCCACAGAGTAAAGCCTTCCCCTGCCTCCCCTGCCTGGGAGCTGGTCTGGATCGTCGTTTTCTCCTTGCCAGCTAGTTCGGGAGGTTCCTGTGGGCTTTTAAAATAAAGTAATGTAATAAAAAAGCCTGGAAATTGAATTTCAGTCTCTTTTTGTAGTTGGCTGGGTGCACAAGGTGAGCACCTTTGGTGTCAAGTTCTATACAGGTTGTCTTAAATTCAGAATAAGCATAAATTAAATCTGTATATGTGAGCTTAATTTGCTTGGTTTCAGTAAGAAATTCAAGTAGGAATAAAAAACAAATATTTAGTGCAAATATTGAGATACTCAGTGTTTCAGGTTACAGAAGAGATTGCACTGTACGTAGACACTGTACAAAGTCCTTGTGCTAAAACACTCCAGCCAACTATTTTTTTTTTTTTTTTTTGACCATAGGGTGCTTATGGTTATTGTATCTGCCCAGGCTCCTACCAAACTATGTGTTTTCCCAAGTTTAGACTGTTTTAAAGCAGTTAGTTGGTCTTCATTTGGAATGAAAGAAAAATACCTTTGCTCCAGCTATTTTGTGTCTGTGCCAGCTGTGCGGCCAGGGACCCTGCTGACCGGCCGGGCAGCGGAGTGGGAGCAGGACTGCTGGGAACTGGCAGGTCCTTGGAAAGCCTCGGGAATAGCGCCTGGCATTTCAGCTGATGGCGTGAGGAAGCATTTATTTTTTACTTTTAATGAGAATTTGAAGGTGACGTGGTAAAAACTCTGACAGGGGTGTAAGAAATTCAGCCTGTAGTTAGGAATGCTTGCTGGTCCTTCTTGGACCTTGACAATTCAGATGGCAAAGTAGAGAATACAGAGGCAGTCATATAAAACCGTAAGTTGTTTTGTGGTGTCTGAGGATCCCAGGGAGTAATTGAGTCTGGAGCCATGCAGCTAAGCTCAGGGCAGCGCTGCGTCTTTAAATAGTCCATAATGTCAAACACAACAGGTTAAATTAAGTTCTCTTACTAATGAAACAGAAAGAGAGTGGATGTGGAATGCAAGACCAGAACAGCCTTACAAGGGCAGGCTTTGCTCCTCGGTGCTGCTGACGGGGGAGTGAAATTGAGATGGACAGCCTGGGAGGTCCGAGATGGTACTGAAGCTGTCGTGATCTCTGCAAGTGCTTCGTCCTGATGTTTGTACGTGGGATGATGACTCACAGAAAACACTCAAGAGATGCATGAATTATTAATAATAGGTGACTAAAGTGGAGAGGTGGGGTGGGAGGCAGGTAAGCGTCGAGAGAACAGGTTTCTGACTGAGGGTCCCCCAAGGGAAAAGCAGAGGCTCGTTTCTTGCAGGCAGTTTAAACCCATGTTGCCCGTCCTTCTCTTGCTGGCAGAGGATCGTGCAGGGATCCCGCCTTGGTGAAAGCGACTCCCCAGTATCCTCTGAATACGTCTGCAGCTGGATTGCCCTCCCAGCTGCATGCAGGGAGGTGGTGGGGGGACGCAGCCGTTGCTGAGGACCCTGGAGGGCTCCCCGCCACGGTGAGGCTGTGCTGCGGTCCCACCAACCTCTGGTGTGGGCACTGTGCGCTGTGCTGCGTGCTTTGGGGTTCACCTTCCAGTCCTGTGCGGTCATTGGCATAATTGTGTGTGCTTGAGAACAGGTAAAGCTCCAAACGAGCTGAAATAAGCTTTTGGAAAGTATAATGTAACCATAGAATTTTGTTTTCTACTGAATGAGGGGAAAAATAGGGATTGTTCCTTCTTTGTGCAGGATTGTGTTTGAGTTGTAGGTGGAATAGATGTTAATAATGAAAGTATCCAGCAATGTTTGAATAACGAGGCCCCATTTGCTCCTGCGGTAATTAGTCATGCAGCACTGGTTAGCAATGTGTGCTCTCTGTTTTCTGAAGCTGCAGACCCCTGACAGACCCAGGGTGGCTGCAGCAGGAGATAATCACTGGCATTTTTCAAGGGCAGAAGATAATCTTGTGCTGTTCTTGTTCCGAAACAACCCCTTGCGCAGGCAGAAAGGCTGCCGGACTGGAGGGGCTGGGAGGCAATTACAGAGCATCTGTATAGTTTGAGCTGGGTTCTGGAGGCTGGTGGTTATGAAAAGATCCGTGGATTCGCCAGAGAAGAAATAAATCGAGCCCGTGTGTAGCCCACATGCTGTTATTAAAATACAGTTGTGAGCTTTTGCTAGGTGGGAATTTTATGTGGAGTCCTACAGAGCATCAGATTCTGGGGAGCCTTAGAAAAGAACTAAGGAGAACAAGCTGGTGTGCTCACTGGGGAGCCCAGGCTTTCGTGGTCTGCTGTACGTGCGCCCGCAGGCAAGGGATCTAGCCCGTGGCAGCATGCCCGTTTGGAGCTGGAACTCCTCTGTGGCTAGTACAGTCCTTCATCTATTGTGAAGTTGATTTATGTCTTAAAATTCTTTTTAATAGTAGCTTCTGTTTTTCGTACAGATGAAATCTCCCTTGAATCAGAGGAGCCCCAAAACATGATTTGCTACTCGGTTCCTTACACCTTTTGAAAACCCCATCTCTTAGACTTTTCAAGTGCCCTCCAGCTTTGGCTGGCTGATGTAATGGGGTCCTCTGAGGTTCCGGTGGATTATTTTACTTACCAGAATAGAAGGGATAGAAGCAGTCCATTTTAATAAAATAGAATAACCCTCCTGACACACACACTCTGCACAGGTCAAGGCAGAGCTCAGCATGTTATGCTTTTGGTGGGGAGGGGTGAAAATACAAAAATGTTGTGAAATAATCTATCCAGTCCTTGCGGGGTCCAGTGAGAGGTATTTTTGAGGATGTTCCTTCAATGTAATTGCTCTGCAGATGCATTTTAATCAAGCAGTATTCTTAACAAATTTTCTTAACACTTCATCCGTTGTTTTCAGACGTCAGTTATTTTTAGATGGATTTTCTAGGGACATGAAGTTTGACTGCATAGTCTGTGAGTCTCCTGGCAGCTGCTGATCTCGGCTGGTTTTGGTGTGGAGCTCGAGCAGGAGAACACGCAGCCACTGCATTTCAGCTGAAGGAGTGGGAAAATCTTCAGCCATTGGAATTTGATGGTGAAAGTGCATCTGGTTATCTTCGAAAACGTTTTGCCATGATGTTAATTGAAGTGTAAATCTGAGCAATAATTTAGATGCTGAGCATATGTAACTACCTAGCAGTGTGTTCATGTGGCAGCCAGAAGATACTAAATTTAGCATTGCAGATAGACTCAAATCAGCAGTTTTATAATCTTCTAAGGACGAAAGTGGTAACTTTGGCGTTACATCTCAGTCTTTTCGGGGGAGGTCTTATAAAAAAGTGGAATATATTCACTAGTGAATTTTCAGATCCTTCATCACGTGCACATGCGAGAAGTTCTTGCAGCAAGCTGTAGGAAAGCCGCCTTCTGTGGATCTTGGGTGGAATCTGGTCATGCATCTCCTCCCATTTTGCGGCAGGCGATATACCAGAAGGTTGGTTAAATTTCAGTTCTGCTGTGCCCGTCCTCTTTAGGTGAAGGGACTGCTGACTAACTTGCGTGGCAGCTACAATCCAGAGCTCTCCGACTGCTATTTCGGGGGGCTACCGACTCGCATGGAGCCTGAAACCACCTAAAATAGCCAAGTGCCTCATGAAGCATCCCTGCACTGCAACAGGCACAGGGCTGCACTTGCAAACGCACAGATGTTTGAAATGTAGAGCTTAGACTGAACAGCATAAAAATGTGCCGCAAGTCTTAAATGTTAGCCTTGGGTGCAAGATCTCCATCGTTCCTGAAGCATTATACTTAACTGTGTCAGAATAATTTTTTTTAATTTTTCTGTTAACTTAAAATGCAAGAAACACCCGGCTCTTGGGGCATCTCATCAGAACTGTCTCTGTTCAAAAGCAACTCTTTAAAAGGAAGAAATGTGAAAAAATTCCCCTTTAACACTGAGGGGTTTTAGTAGACTGATAATTTGAGAACATTCAAAACAAATATAATGTATTCAGAAATTAAGACTAAGATCTGGAATGCTGCATTTTGTCACTGAAGTTTTTCTTGAGTTATAGGTTGGTAGAGCTCTTAAACACAGTGGTTAAAATGCAAGACACTCCGATTCCTCGGAGCGTGTTGGACTTACGTGCAGGTTCCTGAGCAGCATTTCTGATACAATAGGACTTTACACGAGAACCATTTCATAAACTATTATCTAGAAATTATTTATTCCATTAAATTTCTTCCTGAATGGTTTAGAGGAGGAGAGGATGACGCAAGACCATGGTGCTTTGTATGGCAAATTAAGCAACAGCACCAAAAAAATCCTTGAATAAACAGTAAAGCGAGCAGCTTTCAACATGCCTTTGCTACCTTCGTGCCTCTCTTTCCCCTCTGTTCTGAACTAGTCACGTCTTGACTTTGGACACCTCCTTATGTGTACTGATTTAAAACCAGAGCTTTTATTTCTGTTGTCCTCCGAAACGGGCTGTTTCCAGAGACTCCGAGGCTGGTGACGTGTGCCTGCTCAGTGTTACCTGTTTTTACCCGCGGGGTCCTCTCCTTACCCCCACCCATTTCAGGCTTTGCAGCGGGGGCACCGACCCCGTGGGCTCCCAGCTGCCGGGGAGGGAGCAGAGTGGGGGGCTGCCAGCCAGCCCTTGCTTACAAAAGTTGTCAACAGTGCGTGAAAGTGGGGAAAAAAAAAAAAAAACTTCTTCAAACGGTCAGACCTGTTCAGCTTTGTTATGAGCTTCTGGCTTAATCATTATCTCGCACTGATAGCACAGGCAGTAGCTGCGAAGGATCTGGTTTGAGTTTGTAAATCCCATAATAAAGCAGCTCGAGGGGCTGGCGCTGCCCCGGGAGCGGGGTGGAGGCTCTGTCCTGACCTGCCCCGTCCCAGCAGGAAGCTTTCACCTTGGGATGCGGGTGTCAGACCTGCCCTGGCAGAGGTGTTGCTGTTGTTTTCCCAAGGAAGGGTTAAAATCAGTAAGTGCACGTGACATACGCAAACTATGAATCATTCCAATGGATCTGTGCGACTCCTGCCCGCTCAGGCAGCCAGCAGATGCTGTTCCCCGCGTTGCCGTGGTAACCCTGCCTGTACTATAATACAGCCCAGCCCAGATCCTTCCTCGGGCAGACCTCTGCGGCTCTGTCACCTCGCTCATTGTTTCCTCCCCGGAGCAGAGGCAGGGCCAGGAAGGAGGCAGCGGGACGCCAGCGGCGGCTCTCCCCGGGTGCAGCCCTTGCGGCGTTGGGGAGCGTGGGGAGCACCCAGAGCTCGCTGTGCCAGGCGGGGACCCGCCTGCAGGCAGGGGGACGTCCGGCAGCTTCTTCAGAGGGTGTCACCAAAGCACATGAGAGGAGCTGGCGTGCGCAGCGGCTTTCAGAGGCGTGGGGAAAGTCGGTGCTGGCCGTTGGGACGGCGTCTCGCCCGTCCCCGCCACGCTCCCCTGTTCGAAGCCCGTTGGAGCAGCAGAGCTGTCGTCATCCAGAAGATCTTCTTGGCAGGCGCCGAGCAGCCAGCGAGTCCGGTCTCGAAGGCAGCAGGCTTGACACGGTTCCCCTTCAGCTTCCCAGTGCCTCGCTGGCTTGGGATCGGCATTTCTGGAGGTGGAAATCCTGAGAGTGGTTCTGAAGATGGTGAGGAGGGAATTCTGCCGATGCTGATACCTGCCTGCAGAGTTTTTTTGGGAAGAAGATAATTTGGATTTCTTGTTCAGAAGATCTCATCATTTTGCTGCTAAATGGATTGTATAGAAGCATCAGAACTTTGTTTAATGTACTGTTACCTGGAAAGCTGCCGAGCCAGAAGAATACAATTTTTTTTATCCTTCTGATATTTACAGCAAAACAAAAACTTGCCTTAAAAAGGGAGTTGCTTTTCCATCTCTGAAATGAGACAGTAAGAGACTAATTCTGTGCTTGTAAACGGACTAATTTCAAGTGACTGTGTCAGGATTTAAACCTTGATTTCTCTCCTTAACATGGCTGAATTGAACATATTTTGATGGAACTCTGGAAATCTGATTGTAAGTAGGAAAAGTCTTTTATTTTTTCCTACTTGACAAATACCAGTCTCCAACCTCACATGTCTTTTGTTGTTTAATTACAGAAATATGCTGGTGGTTACAGTGCAGTGCTGTTTACATTAGCTGAAAATATTTTATAAGTGGAATCTTTTTTGCAAAATAAAATCAGGGTGGTTAAGGAGAATCTATTTTACAATAATTGCTACTGAATATTGATTTCTCTTCTCTGCTGGAAAAATGGATTACCTTGGAGACAAACTGACAGTGGCACAAACTCACATGACCCAGTGGATGGGTACAGTGCGGAGATCCTTACAGGAAGCACTAAATTTAGTCACGACTGCGGTTGCTCACGAACGGACTAGCGGGGAAGGTGGAAGCAGGACTCCCTTCAAGCGAACCTCCTCCTTCAGGCACTTTGCATCGCGGAGCAGAGAGTCCTTCCGAAGGTTTTCAGTGCGGAGCCAGCAGAGGTTTTCCTCTTTGAGGAAGCGGCAGACCAGTTCGGAGGCACCTGAGCTTGTAAGCTATCCACCTTTTTGAGACTCTCAATGCAAAAACCCCTTGGTTTTGTTGCAGCGTTTTATTTAATAACAAAGCCTGTATCGTGTCTGCTTTTCAATTTAAAAATAGCTCTCCAAACGCTTCCAGGTAGTGGGGTCTGTTTGTCTGCTCCCAGCTGGTGGAAATTTTTCTGCAGCACAGGTGGAAATTTTCATTTGCCAGGGAACAGTGTTAATCAAGGTTTTGGGAACAAGGGAAAAAATTGTTGATCTTTGTTAAAGCAACACAGTAAGGTAGGACAAATACTTGTCTAAAATCAGAAAGTTCGTCTGAACCTGCACTTGTGTCGGGCATTTCAGACACCACAGGTCAGCCTGCCTTTGAATGTGTAACAGTATTTGTGATTTTTCAGTAAAAAAATGCCTGGAGATAAATTTGTGGAAAGCCTTAAGCACTGTCACACTGCACTCAATGGTAAATGACCATTATGCTTTTATTTTCTAGAAAAAGAGGTGGTTTTTACAAGTGTCACTGCTACTGTGTCATGAAACAGAAGTTATAGGACCGGCATGACCTGCGGGGGCTGCAGCGGGGCAGAGGCAGGGTGGGACGTCCTGGGAGCAAAGGAAGCCCCCACCCCTCCCTTGGCTGTTAAATACCTTTCCTGGGCTCTGGGTTATTTTAAGGGAGGATGGTCTGTATTAATGCAGTGGCAAAGCAGCGGAGGAAACGCTGGTTGTGCAGGGAGAAGCCCCTTCCCGGAGGAGGGAGTGTGGGCTGGTGCGGCTGGGCTGGGGTCTGCGGGGCTCCTTCCAGCCGGTATTCGACACCCCCGTTTTTAGTTCAGCAAATGGTGTAGGGTCATAATGTGCTGAAAGGTAAATGAATCTGATTTATTCCATGGAGAGGAGCCTAACCTGGTGATGTGGGCTGTTCCCGAGACTGATGCTGGAGCCGTGGGAAGCGGGTGTGCTGTGCCTGGCTTGAGTGGAACCGGGACCAAAGCCTTGGCACCAGCCTGTGGGTAAATCCCAAACAGCTTACGCTCTGAAGTGGCCAAAACGTTTTGTTTTGGGTTGTTTTTGGGCAAAGTAGTTTCTCACTGTAAGTGTAAATACATGAAGTTGTGATGTGGCCTCGTGGAGGTTTGTTCCCTGGCTGATGGGAGGCACAGCTGCATTCCTCGGGCAGGTGGGGCGTGTGTGCACGGCTGTTTCCAGGGCTTTTTATCAGTTACGGGCTGTAGCGGTTTTGTCCTAGCTTGCTATTCATCTCCTGTTTGGCTGTACTGGAAAAGAAAATATTGTCAAGTGAGCACAACAGAATGGAGAGGTAAATATTTGGTAACCACTGTTACAGTGTTAGCACGGTGAAGTTCTTGGTTTCTTTTTTAAGCTGTTATTTTAGATTTATTAGAATCATCTGATTAAAAAAAAAAACAACTTGTTTAAAAGAAGTGAAGACTAAAAATGCAAATGTGGAACCTGCCGAGGGGAACTGCACGACTCTCCTTCCACTGCGCTGCTTACAGCAGAACTCGTGAGACACGGGGTGACCTTTCCAGCGAATTCCCGGGTGACAGCCGCCGGAGCTGCTGTTCCTCTGCTTCAGCAGAAATTCTGCACGTCCTTGGCTTTGTGCGTGGATTTGGTTTAACTTGTGCCCAACTTAAAGTCTCGGCACTTGTGAAAGTTCATCGTTTGTGCCATCTTCTGTAGAACAACTTGTGAACATGGACCTGGAGCTGTGATTTTTTCCTCTGGCTGGAACCGAGTCCTGGTTTTACACAGTCCTTGGAGCTATAACATTTTTCTACAAAAACCTATTAAATGAGTGTAAAGCACGTGATTCACCATCAGGTGATTGTTTGTTGTTTTAGGGAGGTGCTGTAGAGCGGTCCCTCAGCGCTGGCCCTGCGGGATGCAGATTTTAAGCGAGGAGCAGCCGGGCTGGCTGGCGGGGGGGGGTCACCCCGCCCCCTCGCACGCAGCAAGGTTTTGTCCCTGCTGGCGGAGGACTTCGCGTTGTACAAGACCAAGAGACCCGTCAAAACTCAAGTCGAACAGCACAGTTTAGGGTAGCGTGAGTAAACTTGC